GTCAACGGATCGGCAATGTTGTCATCTGTCGACACCCTGAAAATGTGCGCGTCTCCTCTGTCTATGATCTCCCTGATAAGGTGAAACCGTCTGAGTATGTGTTTGGATCGTTGATGGGATCTGGATTCTTTCGCTTGTGCGATCGCTCCATTGTCACAATACAGAGCAATTGAGCTATCAGCACTAGGAATGACACCCAAGTCACCAACAAACTTTCTGATCCAAACAGCTTCCTTTGCCGCGTCCGACGCTGCAATATACTCAGCTTCTGTAGTAGAATCTGCAACGGTTGCCTGCTTTGAACTCTTCCAGCTAACAGCGCCTCTGTTTAAGCAGAAAACATATCCAGACTGCGATCTGAAGTCATCCGGGTCTTACTGGAAACTAGCATCGGTGTAACCTCTTACAGCGAACTCGTCTTCCGACCCACCGTATACCAAGAACACATCCTTAGTCCTTCTCAAGTACTTCAGGATGTTCTTGACGGAGATTCAGTGTGACTCACCTGGATCTGACTGATATCTACTCGTAATGCTTAACGCGTAGGATACATCCGGTCGAGTACAAAGCATGGCATACATGATGGATCCAATTGTCGAAGCATATGGAATCCGGTCCATGCGTTCTCGCTCATCATGTGTCGTAGGACACTGACTCTTGCAGAGAACTGTGCCACTGCTCATCAGTAAGGTTCCTTTTTTGGAATCTTGCATCCTGAACCGTTTCAAGACCTTATCGATGTAAGTACTCTGACACAATCCTAGAAGACGCCTCGATCTATCTCTATAGATCTTGATGCCTAAAATATAGGCCGCTTCTCCTAGATCCTTCATAGAAAACTGTGTTCCTATCCAAGACTTAACGTCTTCCAAGGTAGGAATGTCATTCCCTATAAGGAAAATGTCATCCACGTACAACACTAGAAATACAACTGTGCTCCCACTAACCTTCTTGTAAACACATGGCTCGTCTTCGTTTTGTGAGAAACCAAACTTTTCGATTGTCTCATCAAAACGAAGGTTCCAGCTCCTCGAAGCCTGCTTCAGTCCATAAATGGACCTCTGAAGCTTGCACACCATCCTCGGGTTCCTTGGATCGACAAAACCTTCGGGTTGTGTCATGTACACATCCTCGGTCAAGTTCCCGTTAAGGAACGCGGTCTTGACATCCATTTGCCATATCTCATAGTCATAATATGCGGCTATGGCAAGTAGGATCCTAATGGACTTCAGCATAACTACGGGCGAAAAGGTCTCATCATAGTCAATACCATGAATTTGACGGAATCCTTTCGCCACAAGTCATGCCTTATACGTGTGCACGTTGCCATCCATGTCTGTCTTCTTCTTAAAGATCCATTTGCATCCGATGGGCTTTATCCCTTCAGATGCATCAACTAGAGTCCATACTTGGTTGTCTGACATGGATTGCATCTCGGACTTCATAGCCTCGCGCTATTTCTCGGAATCCGGACTCGCCATAGCCTCTGGGTATGTGGTAGGCTCGTCATATTCTAATAACATGAGTTCCTCATTTCCAGTCACGAGAAATCCATATCTCGCTGGCTCTTGGCGAATCCTGCCTGATCTCCGAGGTTCACTCGTCAAAGCTTGAGTCACAACCGGCAGTGAAACAGGTTGAACATCTTCAACTTGTTCACTCAGCTCAGCGTCTACTTGCTGCTCTCGAACTTCCTCAAGTTTGATCCTACTCCCACTGACTCTTTTGGAGACGAACTCTCGCTCCATAAAAGTCGCATTCCTGGCAATGAACACCTTGTTCTCTGCCGGAATGTAGAAGTAGTAACCCTTACTTTCCTTAGGGTAGCCTACAAATAAACACTTATCAGATTTGGAGGATAACTTATAAGTCATCTGACGCTTCACATAAGCGTCGCAACCCCAAATTCTGACAAACGACAACGCGGGACGCTTCCCCGTCCATATCTCATATGGTGTCGTTTCAGCCGACTTCGTTGGACTCCTATTCAGCAGGTACGCAG